CTATTCTAAAATGTAAGTAATCATTTCCTAATTTGGTCCAATGGCAGTTATAAACAAATAATTGGATTTTTAAAACTGGATGTGGGAGCAGTTTTAAATAGTCAGATGTGCACCTGTCCAACTACTAGGGTCTGGGATCGCTTGTCACAGCACATGACCTCCTTCATCCTGACAATTACAATGGGAGAAGAGCATTGGCGTTAGAGCCCAGACCCTGATTAGATGGCAGAGGTGCCTGGGAGAATAGGGTTTGGAACTTGCAGGATCTTTAGGTTCAGGAATTTGTGAGAAGATGGAATAAAGAATGGGAAGCAGGTTTGAGGAACTAGGACTGTAGCTATTCTCTGACATATTGAACTTGAGGTACCGTTCCAGGTGAATCTATTAGGTAGTAAAATATCTATAGTTTAGAAAAGGACTGTGACAGGAGCTATGGCTGCGAGCAGGCTGGGCACCACCCACCCTTACCCACCACCAGCCTTCCAGACCTTCAGCTGACACCACAGCAGAGAGAGGCTCCGGGAGCAGACAGCCATGACTGGATAGACGAGGCGCCCTGGGTGTCACAGCTGACACCTGGGGGCTCATGATTCATTCCCTGACTCTCTGAGGAGCAGAAAGAACCACCACCTATAGCACTGACCTCACCCTGAGGAGAGGCCACCTGTGTCTGACAACAAACCAGCCAGGAGGCTCTGCGCCAGCTCCACTTAGCACACGAGTACACTGAGACTCCAGAAGCGACCAGGCAACTCTCCTAGGTGACACAGCTAGTGAGCAGGGGCCTCTGTCCCCCACTGCCCTGTGCCAGGTCCCAGACCAGCCTTCACAGAGTGCCCGCTGCTCTCTGCAGGGGCTGGCGGGCACTTTCCACTCCTCTGGCCAGAGGCCAGCCCTGAACATTTTATAGCAAAGGAAGGATAGGTGGCCTCTCGCCACCACTCCAGCCTGGAGCCAGGGGCAGGGCGGGATGAACAAGCCCGAGGGAGCTGTCAGAGCGAGCTGTCACTCACACCATCTGCTTCCATTTCCTCTGGGTGAATGAAAAGAATGAAAGCTTCTAGTTTTCCCTAGGGTGAGCTGTGCCTGGAGAAGCCCAGACAGGGAGGGAGCACACATAGGCCCAAGGTGTGCCCCAGAGGCACTCTGCCTGCTGCTAGGACTCTGAGCATTCTGTCACAGCTACTGCATTTTAGAGCCATTTCTATAGAAACCACAACCCCAGCACTCCCTTTCTATTTTAAAGGAACACAAAAGAGAGCTAGAAGAATCAGTGATATTGAGGATCTGTATCTCAGCCACCTAAGGGCTCCCTTGTCCATGTGGCTCAGGGGCACGGCTCAACCACACTGCTGCTGTGTGTTGGTGGCTGTGAGGATGGGTGCATTTGCTTTTTATCTGGTTCATGTTCCTCCACAGGGCTTCATAATGAAGCCAGTTAAATGGCAGCAGGACCATCTTGTGTTGGGCAGCCTTTCTGATCTATGGCCACAGGCACATAGGGTCTTTAGGGGGACTCAGCTGAGCCACTTCCCTAGGCCTCACACACCAGTCTGGCTAGGAGCGCACACAGGCGTGGCCCACCCCGCAACAGACACCCCTGCGCTCCAGAAGAAAACTTGCTGGAACCCACGACCCAGGTCTCACAAAACCTCTGCCCCTTGTTGCCGGGAAGCCTTGGGTGTGCTGCACAGGAGCAGACAGGGCTGGTCTGAGTTCGAGGTAAGCCTTGTCATCTCACAGGGGCCAAAATCACCCATGCCCCTGGGCACAAAGGAGCCTGGGTGCGCCTGCTCTGCTGGCCTGGAGTCCGTCTTCATCATGCCAGCCTGACACTTGGAGGCCTGTTTGCTGAGGAAGGCAGGCCTGCAGAGTCTGGATTTTCCAGATTGGTGACCACAGAGCCCACTTCTGACTCCCAAGCGCAGAACTCCGGGACTAGGTCCCTCTCCCAGGGCAAATCCAGCCTGGTGGGGAGGAGGGCCCATGAGGCGGTGGCCACAGCAGGACCTGGTGTTCGGCAAGCCCTAGTAGCCCTGGGTACGTCCCTAGGTTGGCCAGGGGATGGGCATCCCAGTGTGATGCACAAGACCAACAAAGCAACCAGAAAGGCAGCATGGGAGCAGTGGCAGAACCAGGGGCTAGTCTCTGGGGCAGCCCGACCATGGACAGTGCGCTGGGGCTGTGGGAAATAGCACGGGGAAGTTCATCCTAACTCCCGGCCACTCAGCTCACCCCTTACTTCTCCCAACAACGGAAATAAATTGGGACGGGTGAAAACTGCTTTGCTTGACCTCTTGCCCTTTGTAATGACCTTCATTAAAATCCGGAGCCTGGCCATAACTTTCACCTCAAGTCAAAAGGACAGGAAATGGGTCTTAAGGTTCCAGTCACCTCTAAAATGAGCTAATACAGCACTTAATTCTAGTGGAACAAAGTGGGAACAGATTTTTAAAAATCTGTTTCCTCCTGCTCTGGGGGTTGTCTAAGTAGAGCCAGACTGCAGAGCTAGACTATAGAGCCATTGGACCGCTAGCACCCATGGGCCTGCTTGCTCGTTTTTAGAACTCCCAGGGAAAACTGAGGGTGGTGACCTTGGATCAGACATCCTGGCAGCCCTGGGTAGTTAACTGAAAATAAGGTCTCCCCTTCTTTTATTCTCCCCCTGCTCCTTTATCTTACTCGTGGAAGTAGAGCCGATGCCATGCCTAGAAATAGAAGGCATCTGTAAGAATCTAATATAATAAAAGAGAAACATGGTAATTAGCGTATGACCGCTACCCTTCTCATTGGCTAATCAGGGCCATATGCAAATTAACTGCCAGCCAAGATGGCAGTTAACCGCCAACAAAGATGGTGGCTAATTTGCATATGTAGGCACAATGCTGGGAGGCGAAAGG